ACCCCGCCGGACGCTGAGCAACTCATCCAATGTCTTTGAACCCTATTTCCCTGGATGGGAGCCAGGAAAGCAGCTTGTCCATCAAGTGCTTTAAAAGCATGCGTTATAGCAGTAATGGCGCTAAAACACTCTGAGCTCTTTACAAGAACCATGTTGCGTGACTGCGAGATGGCTTCAAATGTGTGATGGGGATTTTTTTCTTCCTAGCAAATAAATACATTCACTACTGTACTGAAGAAAGATCAGCTTTGCAGTAGTAAAATTAATTTTATATAAATCAGTGAGTTATCCTGATTTATGTTAATGTATCAGTAGGTTCCTACAGAACATAGGGGCTTTTAATGGAAATAGAAAATCAGAGACATTTGCATTCCTAAACCCTCTTAGCATTTTACAATTGTAAAATATATCCCTGACAGAATGGTTGCTTAAAGCAGGAATCTATTTACACATGTAATACCTGGGACCATCTTGATCTCCAAATATGCATCAAGCCAGAGAGAGTCAGATAGGGTGACCCAAATAGGCATCTTGGTGACAATGTCCACATGGGCTTATGTCCTCTGTGAGAAATGCAGGCATTCCCAATACATGTAAACATCCCAAGCATTGAGGGGTCCATTTCCTCTCTGAAAACTTGAGTTCTAAGACATTTAAAATTTTAAGGAGATCGTTTTTTTACAAAACAAAATATTTATGTGTATCAAGGAGCAAATCTCTCTAACTCATTTCCCAGAGTACAGCTGACACTGTGGAGGCTCCGCTCTCTCACTGTCCTGCTCGTCAGCAATTAAGGCTCTGCAGACTTCCAGAGCCTTCCAGAGCCTTGATTGTTGATGAGCAAGACAGTGAGAGAGTGGAGCCTCCTCAACTGTTCCAGGTTGTAGCCTCCGAAAGATCAAGGTTTCTCTGGGCAATGCACTATAGGTTAAAAAGATGGGATTTTCCCTTTTAGAAATTATTCCCAAAGAAATTAGCTAAAAATCAGACAAAGATTCAGCATGAAGATGTTCATCATGGTGTTATTTATAAAACTCGGAAAGGACTAGAAACTCAACTTTGCTAAAATGGTTAGTGAAAGAGTCACCATTTTGTGCAATAATATGTATCCATGAAGAATGATATTTGTGAAGAGTGATTAATAACATGGAGAAAAAGATTTTAGTAATATAATGTTAAACGAAAAGGCGGGACACAGTTCTGACTGCACAGTGTCGCTGAGCTCTGTGAAACACACGAACGGAAGGGAGCGGCGATGTGAGTGCAGCGCAGCGGGCGGGTTGTCGATCCGCTTCTCCTGAGCAGTAGTGCCCTTCTCTACGTGCCAGATGCCCACACGGAACAAGTATCGCTGTTCTAGTTGGAAAAAAATAATACGTGAAATCAGTAACTGAGGAAGCAGAAGAACCAAATACTAAACCCCTGCTTTCCATGAGTTTAAAGTTAAGTTTACTTCCCCTGGATCATCTTAAACATTTATAATCCATTGATGTTCTCCACCTACATGTCCCAACCTGTCAGTGGACCCCCTGCTTTCCATGAGTTTAAAGTTAAGTTTACTTTCCCTAGATCATCTTAAACAGATTTATAATCCATCGATGTTCTCCACCCACATGTCCCAACCTGTCAGTGGACAGAGAGGATGGTTCTCACGTTTAGCTTGTCAAGAATTTAATTAACACATCACAGTAGATGCTGTATTGTCTGCTCCTCAGGTCAGTGCCACACTGAAATCTAGTTGCAACTATGTTCAGTAACTGACAACCCCACTACCTACGACCAGCCCACCCCTGCCAGCACGCGTGCTGGCGTCTGCGGTCGTTCGTCGTAGGCAAGGGTCTTCATTAATTGATTTAATTCAATACCATTTAATGATGCCCAAAGCCGTGCTGCTTCACATGCGTTAATTCCTACAACACACAACTCTATGACGTAGATACTGTGCTTATCCTCTTTGTACAGATGCTTGTTCACACTTCAAATACTGAATTTTCTATTAATTGAGACTTAAAGCTAAAAAGTTTTGAGGAAATTCAGGAAAAAAAGATCAATAAGGACTATGACAAAATATCAGGGGGAAAAAAAACCTAAGAAGTCTTAACTAAATGCCTCAGCACCCCTCAGACTTAACATGTTGAAGGCCGTATTGCGGTCACTGTTCCGCAGAACCAGCTCTCCCCCAGTTCTGATGGTGCTCCCACCTCTCAGACACCTGAATACACAAGCCGGTGTCACTCGCCAGTGCGCCATCCTGCCGCCTCTTGGGGGCCATCCGGGTACACAGGGCTGTGGATCACGTCACTCGGGCCGCCACAGCGTGCCTTTCTTCCCTTCCCCACTGCTGCTGTCCTGGCACGCGGCCTCTGCTTCAGAGTCGTCTGCCCTTGTTCACGCCAGGAACACACAGAAAATTATTTGAATGGCACTTGGGTAAATGGATGAGGTGGCGTTGGGAGGCCACCAACCCTGTGTCTCCAGCAGCCCTTGCCTCCCCCAGGTCTGCCAAGGTCGGAGGGGAGCCATCCTCCTGGAACCCCGTTACCCCTCCGTGGGACAGCAGCACACCTCAGCACATCCTCCAGGAAGCTCTGTTCCAACTGGTCTCTCTGCTTCCGGTCACTCTGGCCTTACCTCCCCACCACAGCCAGAAGAGGTCTGCCCTTACACACCGTGTCCCCATCAGACAGTCAGTGTGCCTCCTCCCCCAGCAGCGACAGGAGAAATCCCAAATTCAGCAGCCTTCCGAGGTCCCCAGCCTCGTGGGTCAGAGCTCGGAGAGCAGAATCAGAACACCTGCGTTTGAATTCTGCTTCGGCATCTGTGGGTTGTGAGATCGGGCAGTCAGTCAGCCGCTTCGTACCTCAGCTTCCTCATCTGTAAAATACAGTCTCCCTCATGGGCGTGTTGTAAAAATCAGATGAGCTAATGAGTGTAACGCACTACACTATATATAAGTGTTAAGGTTCTTATTATCCAGAGTCCACTGACATAATTTCCATTGCCATGTATCCCTGTTCTTTATCTTCGAGAACTCATTATTCCCCAAGAGGTGAGCATCCGGGTCCCTGCCCACTGTGTTCCCTTATCTGGTCAAGCTCCATCTCCCTCTCGTCTAATAACTGCCTTTCGTTCTAGACCCAGGTCAAGTCTCACCTCCCTTCAGAGACTTCTCCTTACTTTAAACTCTTATCACACTCATTTTCAATGTCATTTGTGTGGCCCTTAGTGTATCGTTATCTGTCTTTGATATAAATACGCCCTGTTTTCCAAGAGAGATGAAAAGCTCCCAGCCCACAATAGGTGCTCTGTAAGTGTTTGCTGATGATAATGATGATGACCAGGAGAGGATAAATCTATTAAGCACATTATTTGCTGTTGCCAATCAAAGAGCAGCCCCTTGTAACGGTTTTAATTCCCTAGGGAGATGAACATGAGATGTAAGAAGTGAAGGATCTCTCCACTTTAATAATATTTTATTTTAATGAACAAATATTAACATTCCCCCTATCGCCATTCAGTGGTTCTCTTGTGCTGTTATTTGGAAGGAATAAATATATCATTTGAATTTCACCGTTCAAGAATATTACCATTACAGTTTATAGATATTCACTATATATAAATTTAAAGTTTCAACTCATCTTTTTTCTCAAAGCAAATAATTTCTGTTGGCATTAAGTGAAGCAGTTATGGACATTTTAAATCATATTTACAAAATTCAGAAAAGCCAGAAGAGAAAAATTAATGAAAACTACTCAATACTGATTTTAATGAGCTGGGGAACATAAAGGGATCAAAGACAAAGAAACTGTAGGGAAGGAAATGTCCAGTTTTCTGTGTAATTGCCAATTCCTCTGACCTCTAGCCTTCCAAGGCAGAGTCCTCTCTTACTCACTTTTGTACCCCCGATCCAGGCATGGCCTGCCCCGTGCACTAGGAGTCCCTTGGCCATATTAGAAGGGAGCTCTACAGTTAACAGCCAGCCACACGGCCACTTTCAGAACTTGGAAAATTGGATTCGGCAGTGTTTTGCACAGGCACTAAATAAATATATCCTGAGGAAGTGAATAAGTAAATGATGAATGAATATAGCTATATATTTAAGAAAGTTGGCTGTGATTATACAAGGTTATAGCACACAAGTGGAGAATTATAACTCAAGACAATCAACTTGATTTTTCTGCGTGTTCAAATAATCTGCCTGATCATCTCCCTCACTCCCAAACAATAGATCATTTTTAATGCTATTAGGGTAAAGGAAGAAGTGGAGAGAGAAGCAGCTCAGGAAAAGGGAACAGCATACTCAAAGGTCCTGAGGTAGGAAGGAGAATTGTATTTTCCAGGGAATAAGAGAAGTCAAAGGTAGCTTAAATGTAAAAAGTGAGAGGGTGAATGGCATGATTTGAAAATAAAATAACAGGCAAAACTCAGATCATAAGCTATATTAAGAATGTATGTCTTCATCTTATGAGCAACTGGAAGGCTTTGAAGAGTTGTAAATGAACCAGTGCAATAATAAATTATGTATTTTGAAAATATGAGGCTGCAAAGGAAACATGGAGAAGAAATAAAAATAAGCACAGAAGCAGGAAGACCATCATTCATTCATTCAACAAATACTTATTCAGCACCTACTAAGTATCAGGCATGATTCTAGACATGGGAATAAAGTCATAAAGAATATAAACAAAAATTCTTGCTCTTTTGTAGCCTACATTTGAGTGGGATAAGACAATAAATTAAGTACAGGAAGTAGTCTGTTGTAGGATAAGAACTATCCTAGCGAAAAATAAGGCATAAAAGGGGGGCCTGGCCAGGGAAAAAGACTAGGTAAATTCTGCTTTTAATGAAGAAGTCACAGAAATAATCACTGGGAAAATGATATTTGAGCAGAGACTTAAAGAGTGAGGGGCCAGCCAGGCGCATACCTGGGGAACGAGCATCCTAGGTGGCAGAACCAGCAAGCTCAAAGGCCCTGAAGGAACATGCTGGCTTCTGGAGAAACAGCAAGGCCACTGTGGACTGGTGAGGGGTGAGCGAAGAGAGTAACAAGCGATTATGTCACAGGTGATGGGGCAGATCATATAGGGCCTAGTGAGCCATTGTGAAGACGTCGATTTTTACCGTGAGTGAGGTAGGACGCCGTTGGAGTGCTCTAGGCAGGGGACCATTCTGACTGCTGGATGGAGAGGAGACTGGGTCTGGGAGAGGCGGAGACTGGGGCGGGGGAGGGGAGG